CTTTCACCCCTCGGTGACTAGAGTAGACTACCATACATTCATTTTGACGAGTCCATGACGGTCTACAGTGGTGAAAGGGTTAATGGAAGCAGTTTGGAGATCTTGAATTCCTTTTGTTTTAAGCTTGAGTTTAAGTAAAATTGTTTTACTGAATATGTCCTGTGTATAACATCCTCGATTTCCAGGGGTTACGCTCACCTACGCTCTCTATGCTCCTGGAATATGTCATGGCAGCGTTGTAGAGCGTAGGTGAGCGTAACCCCTGGAAATCAAGGATGTGAAACACAATCAAATATAGCTACCTGCGTGCCTTCAATTTTGCCATGACATATTCTAGGGGTGTAGAGAGCGTAGGTGAGCGTAACCCCTGGAAATCAAGGANAGCGTAGGTGAGCGTAACCCCTGGAAATCCAGGATGTGAAACACAATCAAATATAGCTACCCGCGTGCCTTCAATTTTGCCATGACATATATCAGGGGTGTAGAGAGCATAGGTGAGCGTAACCCCTGGATATCGAGGATCATCAGTATAAAGACTGTGGTCTCTGTTGAACAATAAGTATATTCCAGAGAAAATGACTTGACCTTCAACCTCTTATAGAGAAATGAACTTTTAAAACGTCACATTACCCTACTGCAATGTGTAGCTAATAGGTAAAGTAATACACTTAATGGGTGCAGATTTAGTTCTCTTCAAATTTGTGGAATTGTTACAAAAAGCTTCAACGATCTTTAACCTTTTACTAAGCAGAGCTTTGAACTTTAAAAGGTTGGCCTGATCATGTTTAAGTTCAACGTATAGGACCATGTGCTCCATTGGTGTTTAATAGTTTAATGTTTTCTACTGTAGATTTCCATCACCATAAAACAAAGAATAATCACATCGCTGAAATACACTGGGAGAAATTTTAAAATTTCATTTCTAAAACCTGCAATATAATCGTCCACCTAGGACAGAGGTTAGTTAAATCTGGATAAGGTCTATAGACATTATGAGACTATACCTAGCAGTACAGTGTGTTAAAATCGGCAATCATATCGATCGGAGATTTAGATCGGAGATTTATATCGGAGTCCAGCATGTAAATCTATACACTGACTTTCAAAGGGGTATCACACGAACTGGCCATATCAGATTTTAATGGTAGCTGTGCTTTGACATACCAGTTCTCCTTTAACCGTTTACTGGCTTGGTTGAACTACTTTGTTCGCAAAACCATCAATTTAAATCGGAGTTTGGTTTTTATCGCTGGTTTGCATGTCAGAGGGTAGTTCCTTGTATCTTTTGGCTGACAATAGTCCCTGCGCTGCTTAATCTCCGAGAAGATGTTTTTATCCACCATCGGATCCATTAAAGGCCACCACAAGGAGGTGACACCAGTGAAAATATGCCCGTGTCACATAAAAAGGTTTCCCGCTGGGTAGCAGAGCTCTTTAGTATTTCCAGTGAAAAAAACACACAACATTTAAAGGTTTCGTTTTTATTCGAAAATCATTGCTGGTTTTTCGATTTGAAAACCTTGTTGAAGATATTGTGTCGTTGATTTCCCTAGTAAATAGGATTACGACTCGGCACAAAAAAATAAATTTTGAATTAGATGTCTCCCCTCGGGTTATTACAATCTGACGGATTTACCATGTTCACCTGTGTGTGCCTCGAATCTACACAGTTTATTGGCTCCCCCTGGTGGTGACTTAGTGCAGGTCAACAACAGACACACTGCGCTTTACATGTCTAAAGCACTGGAGCTCTTAATACTTATAAGATTAGGATTACAACAGAATATTGTGACAGGAAATCATTGCTTGTTTATAAACAAATGATAGTCATGTGTTAAAAAAGAGTAAATGCAGTATATTTCAATAAAAATATTTAATAAATATAAGTGTAAAAGATTCATTGTTATCTATATAATTGAATAAAAAATAGATTGGATTAAACAAAAATACGAAACATTAGCATGAAAATAAAATAAAATAAAAAGTATGAGGTAATTGTTATACATCATAGACTAGAACTAAAAAGAAAAAAATAACTGTTAAATAAACTGATTGAAAATTGCAGTATTTTGACCGTCAACTTTTACAACTGTTGCTGTTAAAGGTGAAGAGTGTTTATGATTGAGATCTGAAAAACTACTATCTGTTGAGTCTGAAAAACTACTATCTGTTAAATTCTGGAATAAAAGGTTAGGATTTTGTTACCAATTAAGTAATTTTTAGGTAATTGTCATATGTCTTAAATCAATTTTTTCTATTAAATGTTTGTGTTGACACGAACTCTGTATCAACTTGAAATGAAAAATCTAACAGAGCCACCCTTTTGATTGATATATTTCTGTAATATAAAAACATTATTTCCAGTATGGAAACCAATGTTTAAAAAGGCTTAGCGTTAGCACTGGTATAGCAAGGAATTCAGAGGATGTGTAATTTTTTTTTTTTAATATGATAAAAGGAGGGCGATAATTTGTGTTAACTCATGATCAAAGTGACACATTTATTGATATTTAAAGCACTGTAAACATTTTATTTTGAAGCACAATTAACAACGGAAACCGTTATTGATCACAGGCTGTTTGAACATGATCATACAACGATAATGAAAAAAAATACTCTCACTATATGGTATTTATAGTAATTTTGTTTATTGATGATTTTTTTTTTTTTTTAAATTGTGTGATTTATCATGAATGCTTGTTATGTAATCAAAGGCAGCATGAAGAGCTCCGGGAGGACAATTAATTATGGTCGGAGTCTCGGAAGATGAAAGTGATTTGTTGATTACAATAAAAATATGACATATACTTGCATATATGCAGGCTATATCAATATATAGTGAATGGAAGGCCAAAATCAGCCGCCGTTGTCACGCTAATGGATCATACTTGTTTTAATCACCACGATATGATGGCATTTTGTCACACATGGTCCCCTATTAAACATACGCAGTGACAAGGATATCTCAGTCCTATGTGATGTATTTTTGTCAGCTATATGGAACAATCATCTAGGTCGAACCGTCCGGGTTTAGCACAGAGTCTTGAAACATTAAATTTGGGTCGATATAGTCACTATTTTGCGATTTTCTTCTAGGTCCAATTCCCAATGAAATGACAAGATTGATGAATTTTGTTGGGCTAATCTAGAAAATGGCTGATTGTATCAGCCTGATTTTGTTTAGACATGTCTAATTTCTTTGTGGCAGAGATTACAGATCCCTCCCATGATAATACCATCATCAATCTGTACCAGTTTCGTGTCGGTCTTAGATGCAAGTTGCCTAGCAGAAGTGTTTAGTCATCTCTCGGAGAGCTGAAGAAAAATCTAGTTGAATGCTTGATGTATGTGTTTGATTATTGTATAGTATTTTTATGATGGATCATTTCCTCCAGTTTCAGATTTGTCTCGGATGCAGGTTCCCTAGCAATTTGCTGCAGGACAGCTTAAATGCATCTTCTTGGAAAGCTAGCAGAAAAACCTGGTGGAGTTTTTGATGCATGTGTTGGGTTATTGTATAGTCTTTTTATAAGACTGCATGAGTCTGATTTTCTGAGAAGAATTTGGCCAACATTTTCTGTTCTGATTGTGTTGATTATATTATGAGAAGAACAAAACCGGTATCAGAGGATGCTGAAAATACGTTTAACATTTAATTTGTTGATTGAATATCATATTTTACAAATGAATAGATAAGGATATTATGCTGAATATCATATTTTACAAATGATTAGATAAACATGTTATGCTAAAGGATAAATAAGAAGTTGTTGAAGCATTTCTGGGTACCCGGTATCCATTCGAGTGTGAAACAGAAAAGCAACATGAAAACTTGTGAATCTAATCTACATGGTACTTTTAGCAGAATCGTACAAAATTGTGCTGCTTTTTTTTCTGATTTTTTTGCATAGTCCTTAACCATCCAAGAATTTTGCATTTTGCACTACATGTATGTCAAGTGTGATAATTTCTACTGTACAGTCAACAGTGGAAATGACGTCGTAGTTAATTTTTAACACTTTTATGACGTCACAGAGAAGGTAAATGCAATTATTTTTCATTTAAGATTGATTAGAATAAATTGAGAATTTCAGTTCAAGGAGTAAGACAATGAAAAATTATTATTCCGATATGAAAGTTGAATTGAAAACAATGACAAGCATAAAGCATCTTATGATCTGATCTATTGTAATAAGATCTTAGACAGACAGAAGCTTTTTCGTAAACCTAAAAAAAATTATTTCTGCTGAATATTCTGAGTTGAATGTATTGATTGGCTTATAGGAAAGAAGAAGTTGAAGTAAGAGATTTAGCTGTTATAATTATGGTTTTACTTTTTTATATGATTGTATTTAAACATTCTAATTTAAGCATTGAATTATTTGTTTTAAAATAACCATCTTTCCAAAATTGTTATAATTTTGAAAATGTTATTGTTATTTTTTTTTATAGATGGTTAAGGGTAGAATCTCATAAAGGTTTTTTTGAAGAAAAACAAAGAATCCAGATTAAAGGGAATTTCATAAAAATTGCTATTGGAATTATTTACCAGATAAGCGGCCAGCTTCCCTCTATATCACAGATAATGAATTATCTTCTTTAGAGATGTTTGACGAATGGCAGCAATTTTTTCGGAGAATTCTGATGAATCTGTATTTTTGTTTGAGAAACTTGAGCCAGAGTAAATGACACTCACGAAGCAGTGCTCATGTTTGAAATTGTACCATGCCATTTTTTGTGACAGAGATGGATTTTGTGCTAAGATCTCTTCAATCAGACAACACTTCAAACACCGTAGGAAATCTCATTCAATATTCAAGGGAAATTTTTACTGTTGGTTTCGAAACGAGACAAAAATCACTTAAGTGCTTTCCCTGGTGTAATAGTTACAAAACAAAAATTGTAAGGAGATCCACAACCATCTCTCTAGCTGTCATAGCTCCGACAGGAAAGAACTCCCTCTGTATTGATTCCTGACGGTAAATTCAACGTTAACTTACCTTTTGGAACAAGATTCTCCACAGTGGGAGCCCAGTATACGCCATCCTCTATAATGTCTGTAATTGTCAGCTGTGGTTCCGCGTTGTCCTCCAAATGACCTTGACGGTCTATTACAAGGCTTTTCTTATCAGGCACTTCCTTATATTGTAAGGGCGGCTTGGTAAACCCAGTCAATTTGTGTTTGGATTTTGAAAGATGGTCTACTTTCAATACATTTGTTTCTACTTTTTTATCGTTTACTTCATCTTCATCATAATCCTCATCCTCTTCCTCCTCTTCCTCTGTCTCCTCTATCACTACTTTTTCTATGTCCTCCTCGTAATCATTGTATTCATCACTTTCATCTCCTCTACCACCGTCGGTCACATGACCCTTACTTTTGTGGTTATGTACACTTTCCACTTTATTTTTCATAACCACATCATTTGTTCTCGGAAAATTATGTCTGCTTTCCTTTAATTTCTTTTTAAAAATTCCCTGCGATTTCACATTTTGATAACTTCTATTGTTTTGTATACCTCTAAGTCTTTTATTACCAGCCACAATTTGGCCACTGTCAGAATCACTGTGACTTCTCTCAATTGCCGCTTTAGGTTGCCGCTGACTTTTTGCAATGAGATAATTTCCTCCTAATTCCATGTCTGAATCCATCAGAATCTCGGCATGGAGAGCGTTTCCTCCGCTGTGGTCCAAACCATCAGACCGCTGAAGCTGGTTGACCATTAGATTCAATGTAAGCACAAAACTTAACAGAAAAAATGTCATCGTAACTAGCAATGTCTTGCGTTTATGCACTCGTGAAAAATACATTTTTTTTTACTTTGTAAAATTAATACATATAGGATTAAGTCACCTCTTTTTTTCGCACAGAAACTATCATTTTGCTAGTGTTATAAAGCCATACACACTGGTGTGATGAATTTTGTAGGCGTAGTACATGTCGTTTCCATGGCTTCTAAACAAGTATTCAAACCATACCAGCATGCCATCAGTATTTCATTTCCATGCATCCTTCACAAATGGAATTGACATTTAGTGTTGCAAAGGTTTTTTGATTTTGACATTGGCTGTTGAGATGGATTTCGGTATCACCACCAGATGTAGAATGTATTTCCAATGTACACATTAAATCACAAGTTCCCTTAATGTTTTCCGTATAAACGATACAGATTCCAAGTTTTCGTGATAATCTATTCCATGCTTGGCAAAGAATCGTAAGATTTCTTGGGTGTACATGTAGTATATGAGAAACAGATAAATGAAGCACACAGTAGCTGCAGCTTATAACACAATGATCTGAGCTACGTACAGCACACTATGTAATGATTTACCTGTGTGCTGAGGAAAAAAATCATTGGAGTTGACGCGTCGTACAGAGACACCTGTGTCTTCACGCTGTGGCAGTGTAGCCCTGATGTGCATGCCAGAGAATAAGATTCTTGGAGAGCTATTGGATTTCCTCGGTTTTATTCCCCTGTGCTCTCTCGTGAGCTCAGTGTTCACTTGAGCAGCATGTACTGATTACCGGCTGTTGCCACACTCGGGAGTTTCCATGAAAAAATTCTCCGACAATATTCTCCCTGTGTTGGTTTGCTGGCACTTCCTTCTCAGTGAGTGAGCGACTTGAGAGAGAACTATAGACATCAAACGTGTAAAAATAAATCTCCACTATAATTAGGTTCTCACTACTCTTGAATTAAACAAGAGTTTTGTTGACAATGGAAGCCGGTTGTACAGGGACATTCAACAGTAAGACTCTCTGCAGGTATTTGTTGACTCAGTATAGTATATAGATTCAGCCGTCGCGGAGCGCTGTTGACTTTGGTTCTAGTTCTGGTCTCCTGTTCCCAAGACTCCCTAAATACTTTATTGACTCAGGGTCTGTGTAGTGCTGTACTACGTGGACACTGAATTGAGAGCGCCCGCTGCAAATGTTTACCCTCCCATGTGACACAGTCCTTGATCCCCCACCCTCATTCACACCATCACACACAGCCACTAACAACAGTCAATACAATTCGACAGCTCGGAGAGGCAAATAAATTAACATTGTCACCGTTGCCGCGACAGGGGCGACAGGGGCGACAGCCCTCTGTGGTCATGGAATGACTACCACTTAATGCAGTAGGAGTGTCGAGATTGGACAAGTAACACGTCCCGTGGGGTGGGGGTGTTTGTTGTTGATGCAATATCTATTGTCACAATGATAAGGTCCAGTTTCCTTTTACACTCAAGTCTGTCCTCTGGGAGAGAGTGCCGTACATATCCCCTGGGGTAGGGCTGTTGGTACGATGCCGATTGTCTTGATGATGGGGTTAAGTCTCCTGTTTCACTTCAGACTGGCTCCTGGGAGAATGATAGAGGACCTTCAAATCCTGCTACTGACGATTCACAACCTATTGGAGAAAACAATAAGAAAATCAGATTTAATGAAAAATATCACACTTTTTAATGGGTACTGTAGTATTGTACTGATATTTTTCTGCTAATATGACCATATATGTGTCCTTTAATTTGTCAGCAATACAAAGAAATCTGCATATTGTTTCCACACTAGGGAGCAATACAAATTCTGGGTATATTTTTGTATGTAGGTTTTTCAAAAAGGAATATAGCTTGGGTGCATGATGTTTTGGAGATAGCAGTACTTGTAAAGAAATTAAAAATGTATGATCAATTTGTTAGTTGCAAGGAAAATCATATACCTGAATGAATAATGGAATCTTAATGGTTTTCATTTCAAGAGCTATATGTATAAGGTTGTGCAATGCTCATCAATATTGGTGGAGGTCACTTGGAACAAAAACATCATTAATCGCAATGATTTAAGAAAGGGCAACTCATTTGTAAATACCTGTAGTAGCATTGATATTTGTTAAAATCTTACCATATTTTTCATTCTTTAGTTTGTTCAGCTAGATATTGACATTATAATGGAATTTGAAAAATGATATCAAAGGAATCAAGGGAAACTTCTTGTGTAAAATTACTGAGGAAAAGAAAAGAACGTTGAAAATGGCACACAACAAAAGCATTAAAAAAATAAAAAAATAAAAAACATTCGGTCTGTTAAAGCATCTTTAAGCTTTATAGCATATATCATTCTTCTGAAACAGGAAATTGAAAATTATTAAACTGTCATAAAAAACATCAGAGGAATATCAAAATTGTACTAGTCATTTTTTTTACAGGAAAGGAAGGAGTGCTTATTGGCCCCTTTACATTGCTTAGTTAGAAATTCAAACGTAAAAATATTCAAAATTCTTTGGTCACTTCAGAAGAAAGAAAGGTAAAACTGCACTATTGCGAAAGGCAATATTACGTAGGGAGAAAACATGAATCAATTCTTGTAATGGATCGTGTGATCACTGTTATGATTTAATATTCTCAATGAAATTCACGTTTTTACACGGGAGTGTAGCATTTACTAGATTAGATGGAATACGTGTGTAACTTGTAATAAATCAAGTTATCATTTAATTGATGATGTACGTGTAGCAGACTGCATCTTCTATACAACGTTTGTTATTGTTTCTACATTGATGATATGCTGAATTAAAATCTAATTTACAGCAGAACATTTGGGACTTATAGGTATTAGTTTGAAGTGTTCCACCTAGCCTGTGTTGATAACGTTTACAAACTCTAGATTTCGCCGCAGGGGAAGTTGTCTCCGGGGGAAGTATAAGTAGAGTGAGAGAGGAGACGAAATGGTGATACGATCGTCCCGTACTTATTTAACTTTCAAATGCGGCAACACATTAGATACAGAACAATATCGAGAATTTAAATATGAATAGGATCACAATGTTGGAGAGATATCCTTGGTTTAATAACATCGGCTCTTCTTAGATAGCATTTTGGCTGGTAGACATTTGAAGTGAACTCTTGACTGTTCTCATATCACTTTCTGAAATTCTGTTTTGTCATGGAAGAGTTCAGCTTTGATTATACTGCTCTCTCTCTTGAAATAAATTGAACTGGTTCCAGTGTTTGATGTAGAATATGCCATGTTACAATATGGGTGTGATACATTGTCAATTTGGTTGCATGCCAAGAGACAATCTTGCATGCTGCGATGGACGCCTGGTCTCGGGTCTACACTAGCTATAATACGAGGATAGGATGATTTCTAAATCACTTTTTTGCGTTCAATAATTGGATTGATCATATCATCACCATCAGTGAAATGTTTAAATATGCACCCACATTGACGGGAACATCACAATTTGATTATTTTTTATTTCCCTTGTGGTAAATGTGGTGATTCAAAGTTTCCCATCTCTCCCCCCTTCCACCTCCCCCATTGCCTATTATCAGGTACTGTTAGTACCTCCCATCCAGAGCTATATTACCCGTTACTAGTAATGTATTTAACTCTGCAATAATACTACCATGTTACCTCAATACTAGTACTTATAAAGCTTTCACTAGAGTTATATTACCCCTCCAGCAGTGTTGTATTATCCTGCTCTATTATGATATATTACCCCTCAACATGTGCTATATTACCCTTCCACTTGTGCTATATTACCCCTCCACTTGTGCTATACTACCTTTCCACTTGTGCTATACTACCTTTCCACTTATGCTATACTACCCCTCCACTTGTGCTATACTACCCCTCCACTTGTGCTATACTACCCCTCCACTTGTGCTATACTACCCCTCCACTTGTGCTATACTACCCCTCCACTTATGCTATACTACCCCTCCACTTGTGCTATACTACCCCTCCACTTGTGCTATACTACCCCTCCACTTGTGCTATACTACCCCTCCACTTGTGCTATACTACCCCTCCACTTGTGCTATACTACCCCTCCACTTGTGCTATACTACCCCTCCACTTGTGCTATACTACCCCTCCACTTGTGCTATACTACCCCTCCACTTGTGCTATACTACCCCTCCACTTGTGCTATACTACCCCTCCACTTGTGCTATACTACCCCTCCACTTGTGCTATACTACCCCTCCACTTGTGCTATACTACCCCTCCACTTGTGCTATACTACCCCTCCACTTGTGCTATACTACCCCTCCACTTGTGCTATACTACCCCTCCACTTGTGCTATACTACCCCTCCACTTGTGCTATACTACCCCTCCACTTGTGCTATACTACCCCTCCACTTGTGCTATACTACCCCTCCACTTGTGCTATACTACCCCTCCACTTGTGCTATACTACCCCTCCACTTGTGCTATACTACCCTTCCACTTATGCTATACTACCCCTTCCACTTGTGCTATAATACCCCTCAACTTGTGCTATACTACCCCTCCACTTGTGCTATACTATCCCTCCACTTATGCTATACTATCCCTCCACTTATGCTATACTACCCCTCCACTTGTGCTATATTACCCCCCCACTTGTGCTATACTATCCCTCCACTTATGCTATACTATCCCTCCACTTGTGCTATATTACCCCTCCACTTGTGCTATATTCCCCCTCCACTTGTGCTATACTACCCCTCCACTTGTGCTATACTACCCCTCCACTTGTGCAATACTACCCCTCCACTTGTGCTATATTACCCCTCCACTTGTGCTATATTCCCCCTCCACTTGTGCTATCCTCCCCCTCCACTTGTGCTATACTCCCCCTCCACTTGTTCTATACTACCCCTCCACTTGTGCTATACTACCCCCCCACTTGTGCAATACTACCCCTCCACTTGTGCTATATTACCCCTCCACTTGTGCTATACTACCCCTCCACTTGTGCTATGCTACCCTTCCACTTGTGCTATACTACCCTCCTTTAATACTATATCACCCTTCCCTATCGACTCGCTCCCTGCATAGTGCTAGTGTGAAAGCTTGTGATGAGTAATAAAGGTTCATCCTGATTTGATAAATATTGATGCATCACGCAAAAATAGAAAAGTGTGGATGATTGTCCCATAGGGTGTATGATCTCCCGAGGTACAGCCTGTATATCATTTACATAAAATACCGCTCTTAATGTGTACCCGGGAGATGTCTGCCTTCATTTCAATGGAAATTGGAATCGGGTGATGTTGTGTAATGAGTACACAACGCATGTTCCGAGAAGGAGGGAAAATTCCTCCGGAGAATTTATGAGAAATGCAGTCTAATGAAGTTGTATTAACGTTGAATGATTACAAATGGCCAGACGCAGTCAAAAGAAATTACACCGAGTTGCTTTGAATTCTGTGAAAATTGAAGTTCTATTAAAGAGATTGGTTAGGTGTCCAGAATAACTCTTATCAAGAATGTTGGCCCGATTTATGAGAGATATTCCATCTCGTTGAGTCTTATTAAGGATTGAAAATGGTGGGCAGACAATTTTTGTGGAAATAAAACTGGTTTGCTCTTAATTAAAGTGATCCTTTTGGAATTGTAATCTCATTCCATAGCGTGGCCTGGAGTTAAAATTCTCATTATGAATGCAAAATTGGATCATTATTTCCTTGAATTTGGAGGCGATGGAATTTTTCAATTTTGTGCCACTGCATTTCATGTCTTGTAGAACTCTTGGATTAGAGATTTTTTTGGCTACATCAAATATTTATACACACTTTTAAACCAACCACATGTTTTTCATTTTAATGCATCCCTTGAGTAGGTGCAAATAAGATTTGTATATGTCAAAGGCATGTAGTCCACGGCTCATAGAAAACACTTACCACCTTGCCTTGTAAATTAACATGTAGGGCGTCATGACAGAGTAAAAGAGAGAACGGCGCCCCATGTAGCGAAAATATTCCTTAGAGCAACCATAACAAAAAGTCGCACACTTGTTGGTGCTGTTAGGTGCAAGGTTAGGTTAGAATGAGTTCGCTATTTTAAAAACCCCACTTAACTGGTAACATTGGAACACTGGAAATTATAATATGTCAGTGGACGTAAACAACCTAACAAAATACTGAAGGAAGATTTCTCCATTAGGTAATTGCTGCAAAAATGTAATTGTATGGCATGTGAGTGACATTTGAAGACGAGGAAGCAAGATTGCAGCAGGACCAAGTCACCTACGCTCGTCACATATTTCTTACACAGTAATAGCATTCTGTTCAGAATTCGTTTTCAAACTCCTGTAAAAATGTAATTAGTTGCTGTTTCTTATGGTCGAAGCTATACTGCCATGAAGCAAAACGACATTATAAAACCGTAAAAGAGCATGCAACAATTTTGTAAACTTTCCCAGTTCAATGGAATACATCAGACACTCATCAGGAATATTGACGTTTAACAGGAAATTCAAATGAAATGGGTTTCCATAAAGGAAACCTTCAATTTACACAATTTACATATTTTGCGGAAAATTACATGTTTTGTTAAAAGGATTCAAATTCACAACTTGCTACAGTTGCTTTAGAAATTGAATTCAAATGCGAAAGTCGGTATGCAGATTTTTTTC